CTTCCAAACATTCACAAGTAGTAGTTCCATTCACAGTCGTTACCTTTATCGAAGTCTCCTTACCTTTGAGACCCAACTGATTAATTAGCTCTTCACATACAAGAGAAGTATCTGAACCACTATCAAGAAGGGCGTACGTTTCCAAAGTTCCTTTCGAACCATACAATCTCACCGGAATGATACCCAAGCAAACCTTGGACGAATTCCAATCCTTAACTACGTTTACTACATGGTTATTAATACCATCAATATGTAGCAATTAATTAAGCAGAACCTTGCAATTACAACGTCACACTTGATATCCGAGTTGCATAACAGCCATGTGACCCTTCCTTGAACACAGGTAACACAGACCACGTCTTCTCACTTCCTGTCTCCTTTCGGTAACATTCATTTTCAATAACTTCGTACAATCTGTCTCTTTGTGATCAGCAAAGCAGATTCCGCAACTGAGAGCCGTGAATGAGTTGCTTGGTTCCAGCTTAACTACATTAAAGCGTGATCTCTTATCAACTTTGCCTTCACAATTACTTTTACCGGACTATGAGTTACAATGTACCAATCTACCGAAACGTGTTCGAGCAATCCTGGCTCTTTCTTCTACAAAGATCACAAGTTCTTCAAAGATCGGCTCCCTCCCGGTCATCATGATCTTATCGGCAACTTCCACCCACTTATTCTGTAATTCTAGGGGTAAACATGACACAGTTCTTTCCAAATAAGCCGGAGAATTCATATCAGACATACCCGATTTCCTGCAGTGTTATGCATACATTACGTAGCTTAATTGCAAAGTCAGTTAAGCCATCGGCTGATCCTTCAACAGATTTGTGGTTAAGTAACTCAGTAATCATGTCGCGAGCAACAAGGTGTTCCTTACCAAACAGGTCATACAAAATCTGTTTAGCTCCATCATAACCCAAATGAATGGGCAATGAAATGCAAGCTTCAATAGCTGTCCTGGCCTTTCCCTTACAATAGTATAACAAATACGACAACAATTGGCCCTTATCTGACAATTTACCATCTATAAGGCTATTAAGCTGACTAATGAAACGGTAATACTGACCCGGTTGCCCGTCAAAGTACATCATATTGATCTTAGGTAAAACCATGTTACTAACCATTGTATGTAACGTGTCCTTCAGTTCCTCAACCCAATCGATATTTGAGATGTTACATACCTTCCCTGAGTGATTATTACACCCAGTTTCACAATCCAAATAATTTTCCACTTTAGCATTTATCCCACATCTATCTACGGGTAATCGTTCTCGACGGGCTTGTATTGTAGTTCGGCGATATCAACCTCTCCTTGAAGATCTAACATCTTAAGTTGCCGTTCCAATTCAAGTCTCCTTTCTAAATTTCTTTTCTTCAGTAATGCTTTATCTAACTTTAATCTAGAGGTACTAAGCGGACTAGAGGACATGCTATTAATACTAACATCATCACATTTATCATCATTAACATAAGACATACCACAAACGGCTTTAGAAATTTTACCATCCATTTCGTCATTTTCCTTCAGCCTTTTGCTCCGCGTTTCCATCGTATTGATTGTTCCAAAGAAATCGATTACCAAAACAATTCTGAGTTAATCCAAACGAAGTTGAACCCAAAATATCCAGACAATCCAAGGTACGAACACAGAACCAATAATTGAAGAACTTTATGGTACGTCCAAGTTTCGCTCGTTCTAGTTATTGAAGTACGGACTATCGATCTACTTGCAAATTACGAACCCAAATTAACAACAGAACCAAGCTCCAATTTAGATACCAAAGCTATTCGTAATTCACAAATAATCGACCAAATGTCGTTCTAACAACAATAATTATAACAATTACAAAACAAACCTTCAATTTTGTAGGTTCCTGGATCAAAACTCCCAAATACCAAACCAAAGACAAACCAAAATGTCCGGAATAATGTCTTCAGTCTTCAGTAATAAGAATAGTAGGTTGATGAACCTGTATTAATCCTGACACACTGCTTTCCAGTGAAGGTCCAGCTTCTCCTTGAAAGTATTCACTGATGGAGCTGATACCACTTGTTCGGGTAAGGCGTTACAATGATTGACTACTCGATGAGAAAAAGGGGACCCCACTTTGAGTTTATTAGATCGCGGTTCATGAACCTTCTTGCTATGACCGCGGAGATTATTAGTGCTGGAGGGAGCAAAAGATAAGATATATTAACACCCGAATCATAATTAGAGATACGAAATGCCAGTATAAGGTCACCTCGTGTCCTACGATACGACAAGAGGAAAAGATTTAGGCATTTTAAACGCTCATCGTAAGGGAGTCTAGAAACACCCACACGCTGGACACGCTCAAGGGAGTTAGCATACTTTACCAGACACGGGCTAGCTGCTTGTACTTAAAAGTTACCACACCCACATTCCTTGGACTACACCAAGAGAAAGGTCCGCATCCTCTGTAAGAAAGAAGGGTGTGGGATAGATTTAGGTTACTGGGGAATTATGAGACAAAATCTCAGTATCGAAAAGTTCGGAATACCTGTGCCTTGACCCTCCGTAAGTCTAGAAAGTTGTACGAAGCAAAAACTGTCAAGGAATCCATAGAATGTCCTAAACGCTTGTATTCGTATATAAACCAAAGGACAGAATGAAGAGGAAATATTCCTGCACTATGGGGAGATAGTATTGCCGCATCATTAGTGAAGGACGACTTTGATAAGGCTCAAGTGTTTCCAGACTACCTGAATCATATACTGTGAAATGGAAAAACAGCTTTAGATAAGGTCCCACAAAAAAGGCTTCCAGCCAAACTAAAGTCCTTCGGAATCAACAACACACCACTCCATTACTAACAGAACTTTACAATGGGCTATTGCTACAATTCGGACACTTTTATTGCATGTAACTTAGAGAAGTTGTGATCACTACTAATAGCCTAACGTCAATTATAAGATGAGGAAAAGGAATGCAATTAACATTGAAAACTGGTGAGATATTTCTCTCGATTTTGAGATAACCACTTCATTCTCATGCGATGTTTTAAGTAGCCACATATTCTTCATACTTCTAAGAAACTCTCCCAATAACTACTGACTACTACTTCACTACTAAATGTCATTAACTAAAATGGTAAAAGTCTAGACAATCCTACAGATGATTTAATGTTCACTCATTGTTTGGTTTTGTACCTATTTTGAAAAATCTCCATCTCATCCGGAGAGAGATTACACCATGAGGAAAGTAGCAAAGAAAGGGGCATAGAACTTGCGATTTACTGAACACGAAGAGCCGTATACCGTATTCTGAAAATTCCACTGTTCAAATTTGTACATAGATAGTTGAGCTTTTATAATTCTCGAATGTGAAATGATTATGTGTTCGCCAGATTATTCCCTGACATTTTCAACAGCTTTGTCTAACTATGACGATTGCATAAGCGGTGTTTTCTAACTGTTAGTATAATCTAATAGGAATCTTATACATGAGTTACCAACCACCCGCGAATTAACACAGGATAATTGTAATTCATTCCGAACGATTATGTAACGTGTTATCACGAAGAGAGACTGGAACTAAGCGTTAACTGACAATAAAGAAATCTAAATCTAAAACGTCATATGTAATTCACAGTTTCAACAACCTTTTCAGTTCTGTATTTTGTGATATACGTTCAAAACGAAACGTACACTAAAATTCCCTGGAAATGTACTTAAATATTATTTCACTCAAGACTCTGCTTTCTGTTTAAATGCAGTCAGTTTAAATAGTCTCAAAAGCCATAAAATTGTCCTCCTCCCACATTTCAGGGTATTGAAGATGGCACAGGTATTCAGTGTTTGACAACGCTTTTACCAGCAACATCTAATATAACTCGTACCCACCAAGAGAAATCAAAAGACAGAGTCGAGGAGATCGGAAGAGTGTATTTGGTGATTACCAATATATCGGAGTTCTCTGATCTAATCTGCCTAGCGATTGCGGTTGATGTTGAGCACGGCGTTACCACACGTGATCTGGTGCGGATGCCTGACCGAGCGCCTTCAGCTAGATGAGTCCACTAAAACATATGGTCAGCATCCAATGTCGAAAAGTTACAGAGCTATTTATTTTGGGGAGTTATTTACCGCTACAGTATATTCAAAACTCTTATTATTCATCTCTACCTAAAAAAGACCTGCTGAGTATTCTAGTGCCATTGACATGTGATTGAGTCCCAACCAAAACATTCATAGGGTAAGTAACTGAACCTTTGACAGTTTGCTGATCTTTGTCAAGGTTTAGAAAAATTATCGCCTATCTATCTATCTATCTATCACACACCATGGGCTGACCCAAACAGCTGTAGTTGCACTTCATTTTTCCAAATTAATCTAACTAGTAAATTTTTCAAATAAATTCCCGTAAGTTCTATACAGTCATTATCTGGATACCACGATAGGCTGATTCATTTTAGGTGTTGCCACGAGGTGTGACTTCAACGTAGGATGGAGGGCCATAACATTCCCACCCAATTTGAGCAGGCGGCGACCATCCAGAAAAATCATTTACATTGGGTTTTTTTGTATTATGTGGTGAAATGCAGCAGTTAGGTTGACTGATACCTCTTTATAATGCAAATAACAACAGATACTTCTGATTATGTACAGAACAAAATAAGTATCGCACTATCGAATTAAGATTTTACTTGTTTCAGTACAGTAGGTACTATTTAAGGAGGAAGATGCAACTTTAAAACACACTTGTTATGTGACATTTCCAAATTCATGTAGGCTAATGATTCATACACATTTGGAGAGTCTAAAATTGTGTAGTGATTCTTATCAACATTAAGTTCCTTTACGGACTTCATGAAACTTTGAATAAACTGTTGTATTGCTACTTTTAAGAAAAAAAACACTACAAAGCAGCGAGCAAAAATTATTTAAAATATCATCCAGCAACAGGCTATCAAGATATAATAACACCAGAAAAACATGAGATCCTACACGTGTTCAAATGCTGAATGCATTAAATTTAACAACTCAAGGTCGTTGGAACGAAAGAGCGGAAAGGTCCAAAGGCATATTATATTACTTCTGTGCAAAGTCTAATTTAAAACAGTAAATCTTGAGTATGACTGAGTCGACTGTTGGCTCAACCGGTAGTCTCTGTGAAACACCGATTCAATGGCCAATGACGAAGGCCTCCTATGAATTCGGAAAGTCTATTGGTTTGTTTTTAGCCTTACCTTACAATGAATTCAGGTCAGGGTGCTACTTCTACTGTGTTTGAAGCTCTTTGTCCCTCGAATGGAAAGAAATGTGCTATCAAAATTATAAATCTTGAAAAATGCAGCACATCCGCATCGTTAGAAGAAATAAACGTAAGCTGTAACTTCAGTTTTATCCATAACTCGGTTAGAGAGAAATAAAATCCATGAAGAACATGAAAAACGAGAATATAGTAGCATACTATGCCTCTTTCGTTGCCCAGACAGAACTGTGCATAATCATGGATCTATGTCAAAGAGGTTTGTAAACTTATTTTGCAAACATTTTTATGATTGGTAGTAATTGTAATGATTGGTGGTGTGTACTTTATCCACTTGCAATGATAATAGTAATAATGCTTGTTCTACTTGACGATATATGCAGTAGGTAATTTCCAACGTGATTTTTTCAACTGGATACATCTATCCAATAGCTGTAATATGTTTTTAGATCCTTAAGATGTGTAATTTTTGGTGGGACCATAATTTATGGACGATCTTTGAGCAACGCAATTCAGGACGTTACTCGACGAGTTGTATGCGAAAAGTAATGGGTATATTCGTCTCATAAAATAGATGACTAGTATAACACCAACAAAATATCGTGCTAGTGACATCGCTCTTTTAATTTATTATAAGTCATATAGGTCTAACCTTTCCTGTAACATTCTGTATCCATATGTCAGATCTTCTGGTTAGACGTGGATAGCTAAAAGGTTGATTTCCTTGTGATAATACTTTTAGATATGTCATATCTTAAAGTAAAAATCTTTTGCACTATTTTTTCAAGCTTGCTTTGACGCTGATCAGTGGGAGTCGACTGACGATGTGGAATATAATAATAAAGTCAGTGAGACTCATAAAGTAGGAGCCATGCAGTCCAGATAGAGTGATTTGCAAAACATTAAGAAATATTTGGACTGGTCTTCAACTATACTTTAGCCACACTACTCATTATCAGTCTGAATATAAGACGAATGTCTTCGGGGTCTGAAAAGATTTCAACTTACGTGTAGCAAGAGTTTTGGTTTAGGTATATTTAGAGATAATTGTTTATGTTATGAGGCAGTGGATCAGTGGTTAAATCAATTGGGTATCTTCCTAATCCACTGTACATATTCCGTTCTTTGCAGTTCATAAAAAACCCGAATCTTCCTATGATAACCATAAGAGAAAGTTATTCACTTTTAAATGGTTTTTTATAGTTATTTGACGCTCAACTGGATCTAGAGGAACCCAAGTAAAGCTTGTACCTGGTTGTGAGTATATCAATCAAGTGATTACTTTATATCAGGTTCTAGAAAACTGATTTTTTTTACCTGTGACTTCGATTGAAATGTATAAATTTTTCATGGACATACATCTAGGGACAATTTTCCGTATTCTCAGAAATTAATGTATTTTTTAAAGACCCCCTCATCACCTTTAAATACACAAACAAGATTGTTTAGTGAGAATTTTGATATGATGCGGTATGAGGAACACCTAGAGTGAATATAAAAGATGTCAATATGTCCGTCATCGATGCTTCATGATTCTTCGGAATCATTATTTAGTTTGACAATGAAAATTGTATCATTCAAGTAGGTTACATTAATCTTAAGACAAGGGTAGCTGTCAAAGTACCAGCATTTAGGTAAAAAGTAGTTTGGATTTTGCCGGACTAACAAGATGTCTATGTACAGATATAAATAATACAACTGATTAGGATTACTGTACGTGTACCATAACCCTCCAAGATGAAACCGGGCGCCATTTGTAAGTATTTGGTGAAGTGTTTTTGAAGCATTTCTCACTTAATATAAAGTCTCCCAAAGAGTAACGTTAACGCTAGATTCAATGTATTAGTTAATAAATAGATTGATAAGATTGTTATCCTTCATCAACTGAAATGGCTAGAGCAAGTTAAGCAAACTTATCCACATAGGGGGATTATAGATAAAATAAAAATTATCAGACGTTTAGTTTGACTAAACTACTTTGTTTTAAACTAAATGCTTATAATAACCATGAAATACCAAACTTTCAAATACTCTGATTAGCCTTTGCTCGTGTATATAATATAGTATATTGTATTAAGGAGGCTTAGAAAAAAGTTGGGAGTAAATAAACTATGACATTGTTGAATTCCTATCTCCCTCCAGTATGATCGGACGATATTGATGCTAGTGAAATATATACCCTGTTTACTTTGTATATATTTTATCGACTGATCTCTCTAATAATAACGTAGATATAAAAAACCAAATTCGATAGTGTTTGAGGGAAAATATTTCAGATATTCGGCAGCGCAGACGAACGATAAGAGACAAAACTAAATACATGTGAACTTTAGTGGTCGAAATAGTCAACTCATTGAATGATGGATGACTCTGTACTTACAAGCATGAAAGTGATTTAAGCAAGTAGGTAGACACATACGTACCACCATGCACACATCCTCAAGGTCACATTTATAGGTGACAGAATGACTAGAAATGTTAAGATAATTCATCCGTCCTATGGTTATTCTTTTGGAATAAATCACGTAGGCGTGTAAAAAACTAATTGCCACAATGGTACCGGTTTATAAAATCACTGACTTAAGTGGTGTGGGAATGGTTAGTCTTTATGATCAGTTCTGAATATAGTGAAAATTAGTGGCTGGACTTCTTTCAAAGTAATGAAATTAGTGTATCTAATCCTTATCTTTTAAATCTCCGTTCATTTCTATTCTTTTCCGTTTCTTCCGTCTCTCCCGACTTTCCATTTTTATACTCCTGTCATATATGACAGCTAGATTTATTGCATTTTTCTGTGTTTATTTATGTTCGTGTCTGTTGTATACTTGTGTCTACATCACCTCTTCTACATTATCGTTAATCACTTAAGATATGATCGCATTAAATGTTAATTTATTATTCCACCTAGATAATAACTTCACTAAAGACCTTTCGTAAAAAATCATTTAGAACTTAATTTTAGTGTATGTGTATTAGTCTTCTAAAACCGAGCCAAAGATGATTTGCATATAATTATCCCTTATCTGTCGTTCGAGTTCAGTTGTGTTCGTTATTATGTATAATTCAATGAATTAAAAATTATAATTTGACATTTAATTTATTCAATATTTCCATCGATCAACATGAGTAGTTGGTAAGTATTACCTTTAACACCGGTAGTCTGCACTAATTTATACCAAACGTTTCAGTTAATCAATATAAACTTATCGTAGTAAAAAGGTTAAATCGTTCAGCTCTCACCCACTACGCCACAGTTTCAAAAATCATTCTACTTGCTTCAGTTTGTGGAAACCACCAAAATCACTGGCTATTACACTCAGTGTCGACAGATTGGAAAGAAGGATAACTCATCAAAATACCAAAGAAAGGAGATCTGAGCAAGTGTGAAAACTACAGAAGCATCACACTAGTATCGGTACCATGAAAAGTCTTCAACAGAGTACTGTCGGACTGGATGAAAGATTCAATAGACGCTCACCTTCGAGACCAACAGACAGGATTCCGTAAGGATCGATCGTGCACAGACCAAATCTCCACACTATAGATCATCTTTGAGCAATCAATTGAATGGAATTCGTCACTATACATCAACTTCCTTGATTATAAGAAAGCGTTTGACATCATCAATAGGAGTACATTATGGAACCTTGTTCGAAACTCTGTAGTGGGTAGCTGCGTAATCGTCAACATCAGACAGAATTCACATGACGGACTACACTGCAAAGCCGTGCATGGAGGACAGCTGACAAATGCATTCCAAGTAAGGACTGGAGTCAGACAAGGCTGCTTACTCTCACACACATTCTCTCTTTCTCGTTTTTCTCTTTCTTCCGATGGTTGACTGGAATATGTATATCTGCACATCTCAGCCAAAGCACGGAATACAATGGAAAGCTTGGATGCAAATAGACGATTCGAACTTCTCAGATGAACTGACCCTTCTATCTATACACACGAGCAAACGCAAATCAACACAATCACTGTAGCAGCAGCCTCTACATCAGTAGGCCTCAATATACACAGGGAAAAATCGACATCCTCAAATACAACACAGGAAACACCAACTCAATCATACTTGTTGGAGAAACTCTGGAAGAGGTGGAAACTTTCACGTATCTGGGTAGCATCGTCTATGAGCGTGGAGAATCCGATGCAGACATAAAGTCAAGGATTAACATAGTAAGGGTAGCATTTCTACTATTCGAGAACATATGAACTCAAAACAACTGTCAACCAACATCAAAGTAACAATCTTCAATATGAGAGTCAAGTCAGTTAGTTCTACTATACGGAGTTGAAACTTGGAGAACTACTACAACCATCATCAGAAAGGTACAAGTATTTCTAAACAATTGTTTACACAAGATACTTAATGTCAGTTCGCCAGATACTATCAACAACTGCCTACTGTGGAAACGAACAAATCGACTTCCAGTTGAGGAGGAAATTACCAAAAGTCGATGGAGGTGGATAAGACACACATTGAGGAAATCATCAAACTGCATCATGAAGTAAGTCCTAACATGTAATCCCGAAGGTAAATGGAAAAGAAGAAGGCCAAAGAACATACTGCACTGAAAATTGGAAGCAGACATAAATAGGATGAATACTGACTAGAAAGGATTGCTCAGGACAGAGTTGGCTGGAGAATGGTGGTGAGTGGCCTATGCTCTTCCATGAGGGGTAACAGGTGTAAGGAAGTAATCGCGCTTAGTGTATGTTGTGGCAGCTTGAACCGATGTACTTATATCCCAGGTTCCACGTTGCGTTTGAGAGGCTGTGTATTTTGAGATTAAGTACACTAGTCTGTACACCTGGTAAATGAGCAATAATAATAATAATCTTAGTGCAGGAACGCTTACTAGATAAATACAATCAAAGTAATTGTGTATTATCAGCCACCATTGATGTGGAGATTTTGTGGGCTTGTGGGGTACACCCATTTTGGGCGCCCTCAATAATCTGTTTACGGTCTTAAATATATCTATTTCGTTGAGTAAGACTGTCTGTCTGTTGACATTTTCTGTTAATTTTGTGTTTGTTAATCGGTTCGATAAACGTTTCCTTTTGAAGTCTGGGTAGCGATTTTCTCAAGGATGTATTCTTTCGCCAGATTTGATGATAGGTAATAAAGCTCTTGCGTTGGAAGATATTATCGCTTCGACTTTGGTGATTTTAATACCTTGAATGTCAGATAAAAATTGTATTAGAGTGTCGATAGTGTAATTATATGAGTTCGTCATACTTCAATATATCTGATGTTTCTTTTAAAATACTAACTGTATATGTGGTCTTTAAATCAAAATAATAATTTTCTCTATAGGATCATTGTTGGATGTTATCAAGTATACACAAAATAAACGAGATATCACTTATGGTGTATTCGATGAAAATACAATTGCTACCATTCTTCGTGATGTCCTACGTGGATTGGCGTATATTCATGAAAATGGTTTGGTTCATCGGTGAGCATTTCTAATTAATATTAATCTACCAGTTACCATTCGATTTTATTCTTAAGTAAGAAATGACAAGTGACTATAATACTAACTGTAATATGTAAAAAAAATATTAAAATAACTTCTTGTCTCACATAAAGTCATAGTTTCCTCCGAAAAATAATTTATTCATATACATATATGTTTTGCTCAGTCAACTGCTTTGTACTTTTTTTCGGCTGAATATTGACTTTTCTATTGTTATCTATTTTATATTATAAATAATTTCAATAAATTCTATCTGAATTTTAAGTTTCATGATCTCACAATTCATCAAAAGTGTACTGGGCTATGTTGTAATGATACTTGAGTGAAAAAGTATTTAACTAGTAGTATGTCTCAAGTTCGAACCCCACTCACCCTGCTTTGGTTCAGGGAGCCGGTTTGAGTATCACTAGTCCTCACAAGCAGTTTGATTTAAAACAGTACTTAGACCTATATACTTGGTAAATGAGTGGCACTACTCCATAGAGTTATTGATCGTTGATCTAGGCCATATTGGTAGATGCAGCCTACTTGTTTAGAGTTCACATAATAACCACGATCAGCGATGGTGACGTTTATTTATTATTTATTTAAACACAAACATAGGTACAAGAAGTCGCCAAATAGATATACGCCACATAAATCATTCGATTTGTGTGAGGGCTAGGATACTGCTCGGGTGCCCAAACCGAAGCAGGTGGTTTTCTTAAGGAGCCACATTCCTAACCTTTGACCTAAAGGTCTAATCTACAAGGCATTGTAGCAAAGTCAGGAGATTCAGTCCCATGGTTGCCAGTGACCAATGATTGTTTCATACTCTATTTCTTCCCTCAGGATCCTGGAGCCCATGTACACGACTGGTTGGGAATCAGGGTTTTCCAACTCCCCTAGGTGAATCCTCTATGTGTGACATCGAACGGAAATCGCTAGAGTGTAAATATGACTCTTTTCAGGAAGTCTTACGGTAGATAGAACCCGAAATCGTGTCTTGTTATTGTCAAATTCAGAAAATTCTCTCTGTTTTTTTGTACTTCACTCTCGTATGTGAATTTTTTAAAATTTAGATGAGGCTAATTGAAACGTCTAGATATTTGGTCAATGTGATCTCTTTCATCTTATATTATGAAGTATCAAATACAATAATGTTTGCTTTTAATTATATCTTGTAGTTTAGCGTTTTCTAGTTGTGCTTGAAAAATATCATCGAATATAGGACCGACCTGTTTATCAATAGTTTCTTTTCACTAAATTGGGACTGAACATTTTTTTATGCATGACAGCAATCATTCTTTTCGTTTCTTTTTTTTTGAGAAATCAATCCTATTAGCGTGATTCCATAGGATATCCATAGTTTTTTTCTAGTGGGACTTTGGAAAATAAAGATTTCCTATCAAAACAAATCATATGCTTTCTGTTTAGATGAATACCATTAATTCTATTAACGTTACTAAAACTATCTTTTGAACTATGTGCGCTTGTATAAGATTTAAAACACACGAAATGAATTGAATTCACATACCTCGCAATGTTCATTGTTTTTTGTTTTACAGTACATAGTTTGTTGCTGAAGGCTACATCGTCAGTTGAATAAGAAAAAGAGTATTCAGCGAAGGAAATGTTCTTTTCAACGAATTCTCTTTTTCTTAAATCAGTATTTATATGACTGAAACTCTATGCTTAAACTATGTCACTAGATAGTCAATTTAAATGATTAGTTTATTGATATGGAAAATAAATTAATTCTAGATTCCTATCATACTTAACCAACTAAATTTTGTTTCCTTTGATTCTGTTGTTAAATCCAATAAATGGCAATCAATAGCTTATGAACCCATCTCTTAATACATAGTTTTAGTGAACTTCATTATTTATATACTATCCAGTGAATATTTTCAAGATTTTTATTTGACGGTTTATGAGAAACGTTCACTGTAACATCAATCTACGTATTCTTACATTTCTATGTTACACCTTACAGTAACATTTGAATGACGTATACCATCGGGATAGGTTAAAAGAAGATTAGAGGGGTCGAAGTCTGTCTGTTAGTCATTTGCAACGTAGAATGTGGTATGTGTATACATCAATTCAAGTTGTCATACCCCATTAGCACAGCGAGAGTGAATTGTTAGGGCGAATCTCATAACAGTCGAGGTAATAGTAGTATCAATGTTAATAGAAAAGATTAAGTATCCAAGATACAATCCAAGAAAATATAAATTATTGAAATAGAGAGGATTGACCATAAAATTTGGAAAAGGATGAAAAGTGTATGCACCTGCGCCATTGCAAACGATTTTCAGTCATGTCATTCAAAGTCATCAACCAATGGTTACGATAATCACGCGAACCCCAACTAGATAGTCTACATCTGTTAACTTGGCTCAGTTCATTTTTGAGTGACTTCATGAACTAATGGCTAGAAGTGTCTAAATCCGAGATATCCTACCAGTAGTGCATGATATTATTGGTTGGTGGTTAGGATCATGTCGAATGATGCAGGATTCTTGGTTAGTTGAAATGTTAGGTTATCTACCACCAACTATCGGTCATAGTAATGTAGCTGCATTCATTAACTCCCTGTAAACGTTAAGCATAGTGTCACTTCTCATACTATATGATCTCATTTGTCTTTCTAAAAACATTATATTCAATTGCGCAGTTTACATTGAGGATTGGCCTTAGTTAGACAACTACTGAAAATCACGAAGTACTGGACAACTGTTTTGTCTTATCACGGGATTGTTTACCAGTGTACATATACGATTCTATTGAGGAACGAACCCAGGACATTCGTATCTCGTTGCACAATACCCCTAATCGATCGAAGTTAGAAATGTAAACCGTTGGATGATCCACCCGAAACCTGAATGTTCTAGGTTCAATCCAGAATCTTGTCATGGATGTGCAGTACTGACGAGTCTCGTAGCAGTAGGAAGCAACTATCCAGTGCTTCTGAGCTTTTAGTAGTTCAACTAAATTCATCCCCCAATATAAATTATAAAATCTCTACAACTCTTCCCCATACTGATAATATTTCAAATGTTTATTTTTGTACTGCTATTAATCTCCTGTCCTACCCTCATATTGATGTGTTAGGAAAAGTAAATCGATACATACTCGTACCGGATCTTACGTCAGCTATCACTAAGTATAGATATGTAATAAAAAAACGTTATAATATAAACGTTTTTGACAGCTTTTTTGTATAGGAACACATTGAATATCAACTTGCTTCAGTTGTTCGTGTGCACAAATGATCAGGCTACATTTTTCATAGCTGGATAATGTCAACTCGTTTACTGATATTAATTCTTTAAAGTCTGATTGAGATCCATACTTCTAACGGCACTCAAGATCACTGTATTCATAATCAACCTCCCTCTTCAATTTCTATGATTGAAATCCATGTACATTATAGTAGATGACTTGATAAAGCATCTCTGTTTTTCTTGTCTTTGTTTTGTAAAGAATGTCAGCTTTATTACAAGGTGAAATCATTCTTTTTCTCAGTTAGTCAGTCAGTAACAACGTAGAACTTCGTACGCATGTACATCAGTTCGAGTTGCCATACCACATTAGCACAGAGATTCTTTTTCACAAGTTTTTACTCATTCGATTAAATATCATAATATAACATAAATTTGTATAAGTTAATTTATTTCTTTTTTATTCTATATACCTATTTCACTAAAATATCATTACTCTTAAATACAGCGATCTAAAATGTGGTAATTTATTAGTCAAAGATGATGGAATCATTCAAATAGCAGATTTTGGAGTTGCTGGATTTTTAGCTACTCAACCGCTTACTGCAACTGGTAGTGTTGATTTAAGACGGTATACATTTGTTGGTACACCTTGTTGGATGGCTCCGGAAGTTATGCAACAAGTACGAATAATGATTATTACTTTTTCTCTCTCTCTCTCTCCTTAATAACATTTAATTTACAATTATTAATTGCTATATATGTGAATTTTAATTTGATCATTTCAAGTTTTTGTTACATAAAACTGTAATGTACACTGTGTTGTCAGTATCGACTCATCATGAAATGTAAATAGATGCCTTTTTTACCTTTAAAAAAGTAATAAACTGAACTCCAACATCATAAAAAATGAGTAGTAGCTCTAGAGAGAAAAGATTTTTCTCATAGCCTACATCTCAACACCTCATATTCACCTACGTATCTAATTAACAGTATACTTTATTTTATTATTTATCTTAACACATAGATATTGGTACAAGGAGGCACCAAATAGATATGTGCCACACAAATCCCATTTGATATGTGTGAGGGCTGTGATACTGCCCGGGTGCCCAAACCGAAGCAGGTAGTTTTCTTAGGGGGTCACACCCCGAGCCTTCGACCTGAAGGTCTGATCCACAAGGCAGTGGAGCATCGTGAGGAGATGCAGTCCCATGGAAGCCGGTAACCAACGATTGGTTCATACTCTATTTGTTCTCTCAGGATACTGGAGCCCATGTGCACTATTGGTTTGGAATCCGGTTAAAGCGCCGGACATTCACTTTTCGTCCTCTCATTTTCGTAAACAACAGTAGTGCCACGAGAAGGCAGTGAGTAGGACTTCGTTGGCAGAGGCTATATACGCGTGGCCATGTGAGAGCATTTCGAGAGGGAGAGCGGATTCTCCCCACTCTCGACCGTACCAGGGCATTTGGGGGCTTATCAGTATATGGATTGTGGAGATTATTAAGTTTTTGATTGAGATCATGAATCGATTGATGTTAGACCACCGTTGAAAACCTGGAAGCACTGGACGGTCATTTCGTCTTATCGTGGGACTCCTCGGCAGTGCGCCTCCACGATCCCCCTCACGGGATTCGAACCCAGAGCCCTCAGTCCCGCGCGCAAACGTTTAACCTACTGGATCACTGAGTCGGCATCTAGTTATTGAATCACAATTTTTTTATTGATTTCTTGTTGAAACTGCACCATCGTTGTCTGATTTTCAAAATACAATGAATTCATTGTATTTCATTATCTTCTCTTCAGCTACATATACATGCTAATATGTTTCATTATTTCCTATGATTAAAATAATGTTCCATCAACAAAAAAAAAAGAATTATCAATAATGAATAGGTTATGTGGAATATAAACCAGGTTAGAAATCCGGGTGTTTAACACTTTTTCGGAAAATAACTGTTTAGAATGATAGTTCTAGAATAGTTACGATAATATTATTACATAATATGATAAATTTGATTTAATAAGTATGGAATGAAAGTGAAGATACATGCATTTCATCTACTACAATCCGATTATAGTTTATTTTAAAAAAAAAGAAGGAAAAGGGGTCGAAATGCTTAATTAACTCTTGTGTACCAAAAAAGTTGTAGGTTAATCATTTGCTCTTTTGAAACACAGAGGTCAGAATTAACCTTTCTGGTTGCTACGATCTCTACAAATAAGATAAAACTAGACTATTTATTGATTACTTTGAACGCGTTTGGTGTTAACGTTATCGCATGTGTCTAGCAGGTGTCGTACTATTGAAATACGGGGCCTGTTTTTACCTGGAAGACTTAAGGTCCTAGGAATACGTTTAGCAAAGCAAGTTGGGACCAGTCTTTATTTTCTTCCGATGTACATTATTTTGTGGATGTATGTAAATTGATGTACGCAATAGTAGATGACTTATGGTGGTTACCTGTCTACTTTTATTTGTATTACTGAGACTAGTGTATGCAGTGAACCAATGTAGCAGGCGAAAATATGCATTTTAAGACTTCTTAGTTTTTGGTTAATTTTATTCTTGATTTGATCCCCTTTGGATGACATTCATATAAGAACTTGTTTCTTTTCGGGTTTGTACACTTTCACCTTATCTTGGTATTCGGTAATACACTTCTTTCAAGTTGATTCAAGACATCAGTTTTCACACCGATAATATTTTATTTCCATACATTCTTCCTCAAGTTTTTCTTGTGAAGAAAATTTTCTGGCTCTGTGGTAGAGCGTTTTCACCAACTCGTATTTGTAGCTTATAGGCCAAAAGATGTGAAAATGTAGGTATTCGCCACTCCAGATTTTTTTTCGATATATATACCCTTATTAGGTTCTATAATTTCTTCAAGAGATGTTCCATTGCAAATTTAATATTGGGGTAGACTTTATCGAAGTTTTCTCATATTTGATTTGTCTAATTCATATTGCTACACAGAGCAAAATTATGTTCAGCGTATCTTACATAAAGTTCAGTTTCATTGATAACTGACAGTAATCTTTTCTTCCCCAAGTTGCTACAAATATATCTACAAGCATTGGGGCTAAAGAACTTCCTATAGTGACACCATCTATCTAAAGGTATAATTTATTGTTACGTTGTGCACAATCTGAGCAGTTGCTTGAGTTGTATTTATGACATGAATATACAGACGTTGCAAGTATTGACTAATTATGTTAATTGTTTCTTTCAAGGGGATTAATGGTGAACAGTGAAACTATATCATATGAAACTATAAGTTTATTTGATACATCTATTTGTTCTATTACTTCTGCTAAACCAAAAATGTCCTTCACACTGTATACAGCTAACTCAACGAAGTAGTTCTAGATTATTTGTTAACTTATAATTATCTTATGTAAATAGATTCTAAACAAACCACAAAATAAACTAGAATCCGTTTAAAGAGCTAATACACATACGATATTCCTTTAAACAAGATCAAATTCGAGGACTTTTGAGTGTTTCGATGAGTAGAATTCTGTATATTCCTTAAGTTTCCGAATCGAAATAACTCAAACTTAGGAGCTTCGACCCACTCATGATTTAACACACACAATCTACTACCGTCGATGGTCAATTGCATAAAAATTATGGCTTCTTACTCTCGTACGTCGGAATTATTTTACGGGAAGAAAGTTATTATTTAGGCACTGGATTAGTTAGATGACTTGGCGATTGGTTTTATCATCCATTGACATCAGTTCAGGTACCATTGATGTGTTAATTCTGAACAATGCTCACCTTTGACTACTTCACCACGGGTCGAATACGCACTACTTCTAGATCTCACAACGAACAATTGACTTTTATATTACCTAATTGGAATCTGATGATTAGTATTTTCAACTTCAATGAATTTGTAAAATAGCATGACGATCATTCCATCCATTATTTGATGAATAACTCAATCTCAATATGAGTGAACTTCATCCGTGATAGCCCCTCTCATTCGAACCTCGATAACGTATTTCATATCAAGATAGTTTTTAATTTTACCACTGTTTATTTTGGGCCCCATAAAACAAACTTCTACATGTTACATAGATGTTAAATTGTCTATTTCTCCTGATTATAATTTCAATTCAATAAAATGATGTAATTTGATTATTTCCAGGCTCGTGGTTACAATCAAAAAGCAGATATATGGTCATTAGGTATTACAACTATTGAAATGGCAACTGGTCAAGCTCCTTATGCAAAATTTGCACCAATGAAGGTAATTTTTATCGAGGTTCCTTGTATCATAATTTTATAATTTATTTATTACGTAATTCTTATTAATCTAAAAAAAAGTATCAGGTTATACCCTTATAAATCCATAATTATTTTATTACAATGCCCAAAATAAAGCATACATACTACTAAATAAATTAAACAATGTTAAAATTATTGTGTTTTATATCAGTTAAGATATCAACTGCATCAAAAATATGTCAATTGTAAATTTAAAACATCATTTCGGAAAAGGTAGGAAATTTCATTCATTGTACAATGTCTAGTTGTAATTAATATATTAGTAAATTAGGGGCGGCCAAACCAAAACGTGGTATCAGTACTTGAAGTCACTAACTTCTAATCGTAGCCATGTTGGCGGAACAAGCACTATTACAGTGGATCCCCGTTAACAGTCGCTTATTTGCTGTTCGGTTAAAGAACTCTGAAGGATAGGGACACATATCGTTGCCTTTTTGTCGTTTCTGCCTACGCTCCCACTGACTGCAGCTCAGATGAAGTGAAAGATGAATTTTACAGAAAGCTATCCGAACTTCTTCAGAAAGCTAAACGCTCAGACATAGTACTCGTAGCAGGTGATTTTAATGCTCAGATAGGCAGTTTAAACCAAACAGAAAGTGCATTTTAGTATTCCGACACAGCGAACAGATAATGGTGATCGTCTGCTGCAGCTATGCTCAGACAATCGTTTATTTTTAGCAAACACAAATTTTAAGCATAAGGAGAGACATCGTCTAACATGGCGACCCCCTACACCAAACCAACGATGGACTCAAATAGACCATATTGCCATCAGTCATCGTTGGAGAGGGTCGGTAGAAGATTGTCGTTCATTCTGGAGCACCTGCTTGGACTCCGACCATGCCCTAATACGGGCACGCATCTGCTTGCGCCTCACTGGACGCAAAAAAGCCACATTAAAAAGACCCATTAGAACTGAGTTGAGTAACGAGAAAACCAAAAGTAGGTTCCAGGAACAACTGAGGTCACACTTAGGTAGTTGTGAAGACGAGGCTGACCCAGATGTTGCTTGGAAGGACATACAAGCAGCTGTGGAAACAGCAGTGACATCTGTTAGTGACTTAAACCACAGAGTTACAAGGAACCAGTGGATTTCTTCAAGGTCTGTCACACTGATGGATTCTCGCAAACTCGTCCCATCAGGTTCTGAACATGATGAAGAGCGTAAACAAATCAGATCTAGGTTAAGAAAAAGTCTAAGGAACGACCGTGAGCAGTGGTGGGTAACGAAAGCAAAAGAGATGGAAAAGGCGGCGACTATAGGGAACACAAGACAGCTTTACAGACTAATAAAAGAAACTGGAATTAATAAGTCAAGTGTAAGTGAGATTATTTCGGAAAAAGATGATACTCTCATCTGCTCCCAGTCCAGACGTTTAGAACGATGGGCGGAACATTTTAGAGAACAGTTCAGCTGGCCTTCAGCTACTCTACAACTACCCTCCATTCCCAGACAAGTGAATGGAACATTGAAGTAGGTCCCCCAACTCTTGCTGAAGTTGAGAAGGCTATAGTTAATCTGAAACGAGGAAGGGCAGCTGGTCCAGATGGATTGGCTCCAGAGGTCTTTAAGGATGGTGGTCCAATTTTAGCGATTAGGTTGACTAATATTTTGGCTAAAATCTGGGAGTTAGACGTTATCCCATCTGACTGGTCGCAATCACTTATCGTCCCAATATATAAGAAAGGGTCAAAATCATCCTGTGACAACCACAGAGGGATTAGTTTAACAAACATAGTATCTAAAATACTGGCCTCGATAATTATCAAACGCCTAACTAAGACTCGTGAACTACAAACACGAGAGAACCAAGCTGGCTTTAGACCTGGTCGTGGCTGCATCGACCACATATTCACCATTCGTCAGGTTCTAGAACACAGGCATACCTATCGGCGTCCGACGATGGTGGTCTTTCTTGACTTAAAAGCAGCATTTGACTCTGTAGACCGCGAGACTCTGTGGCAGTGTCTGTCATTGAAAGGCGTACCTCAGAAGTACATAAACCTTGTGAAGGCTCTTTACTCGAACACTACTAGTCGAGTCAGGGCTTATGGCGAACTGTCATCTACTTTTGCAACCTCAAGTGGTGTCCGTCAAGGCTGCCCACTTTCTCCATTTTTGTTTAACTTCATCATAGACCTATTGATGGAAATAACACTCTCGTCGACTGAATTCTCGGGTATTGATCTCCTTCCAGGAGGTCCACTTATCGACTTAGAATATGCAGATGACATAGTCCTGTTTGGTGAAGACGCTGACAAAATGCAGAGTCTTCTGGTAGCACTAAGCAACAATGCCAGAATGTTTGGGATGCGCTTCTCTCCCTCTAAATGCAAGTTGTTGCTTCAGGACTGGTCTGCGTCAACACCTGAACTAAGGATAGGGAGTGAAGTAGTCGAACGAGTTGACAACTTCACTTATCTTGGAAGTCTGATCAGCCCTAATGGGTTGGTGTCTGACGAAATCTCAGCACGGATTCGTAAAGCTCGTTTGGCTTTTGCCAACTTACGTCACCTTTGGCGGAGGCGAGATATCCGTCTATCAATAAAAGGACGAGTATACTGCGCGGCAGTCCGTTCTGTTTTAATTTACGGCAGCGAAACATGGCCCTTAAGAGTAGAAGACACCCGTAAGCTACTAGTATTTGACCACAGATGCCTTAGAAATATTGCTGGCATCTGCTGGGATCACCGGGTAAGTAATAGTGAGGTTAGACGCAGGGTATTAGGGAATGATGGTAAATCAGTTGATGAGGTTATGAATCTTCATCGACTGAGATGGTTGGGCCACGTATTACGTATGCCTGAACACCGATTACCGCGACGTGCAATGCTAACCGGTGTAGGGGATGGTTGGAAGAAAGTTAGGGGCGGCCAAACCAAAACGTGGCATCAGTGCCTGAAGTCACTAACTTCTAGTCTGAGCCATGTTGGTAGATGCAGACTACTTGGTTGGGGTCCGCGTGACTTTCGTAACCAATGGTTGGAGACCCTTGGTGACATGGCTCAGAATCGATCACAATGGCGTCGGTGTATACACTCTCTGTCTTCTCTTAAACTAAGAGATTAAGATCACTTCACATCTTTCTTTCTACGAACTAATTCTTTCTTCCTATACTATATCCTTATTGCAATCTTTTTCCTATATATTACCACCTTTGACCTAACCACTCCTATGAATCCGGTGTTCATCTTGCTGTGCTAATGAGGTATGGCAACCTGGACCGATGCATACATGTGCCTGGTCCTACGTTGTAGCTGACTGACTGACTGATCAGTGACAATATCAAACATTACGCTTAGGAAAATATAATTCAAGTACAAACTATGAATTTGACAAATATTAGGTGTAAGTATTTTTCCAAGATTAAGAGATAATATACCTGACTTATTTTAACTAATGAATATAACACATCAAATAAATTTTATTTTAACTATTGATCATTCATTTCTATCTTTTCTGTCACCCTTAACCCCATTCCTGTAATTCATTTCAATAAAAGGTATTAATGCTTACATTACAAAATGATTCACCGGATATTGACAGTGTTGCAACAGTTAACAATCAATATTTAAATTATGGACACAAATTTCGTAAATTCACCAAAGCTTGCCTTATGAAAGATCCAGGTCAACGTTTATCCGCTCGTGAATTACTTAGTCATACTTATATCAAATCCAAAGCGAAGGTAATCTCTATTGAAATGACCTTGTTAAATTTTTCTAAATCACTATAATTACTGTTATACTAAATTTATATTTAGTTTGTTCATACTTATTATTCCCATTTTAGAAACATGTTCTATGTCGAATCGTTTCGAATAATTTTCAACTGTTTTAAAAACTCGATAAACAATTACTTAAATATATTGTAAATACTCCGGTTCTACGATATATATATAACCCTTGTTACCCCTCGTGGAGCACAGGCCGCTAACCAGGATTCTCCAACCAACTCTGTCTTCCTCCCTCCTTTCCAGCTGTTGCCAATTGTTACTCATTCTGTTGATACCTGGCTCTAATTCTCAGCTCAGTGTGTTCTTTGTTCTGGCTCTTCTCTTTTTTACTTTGAGGATTCAAAGTTAAGGCTTGCTTTATGTTGAAGTTTAATGATTTCGACAATGTTTGTTTTATCTACCTACAGATTTCCTCTTCAGCTGAATATATATTATTTTATATGCTCTGATAACCAATGGGAGCTGGTGCGAATTACTTGATATTACCCTATTACAAGAATTGGAATGGTACTAAGTTTTAGAATGTCGCCATAGTAATCGTTATTGTGTCAACAACGCTAACATTTCACAATAATACTTTTTTTGGTCAGCCGTAAGGTCCATATATCGACAAGTTTCCCTGATTCACTCTCATTACAGAACATACAAATGTGTGGCTTCGATTCATTGTTCTGCGATTGTTGTCGGTTTCCATGTTTGGTGATCGGAAGCACTCGACAGGAAGCCATAGACTTAGGTTTCGTGCTGGTTAGCACTTGTCGTTAATATGTAACTGCAATTTTGAGGAAACTGATGCTCCCTGTTAGATTAGAACCATGCTTCACTGTCTAAAAAAGGTTTCCTGTTTTTGGGCTACAATGTCGAGTCACCCAGACTAGTTGCCATACTGCAACCTAATTGACATGATTCGATCAGTATTAAAAACGACTAGACAAATAGTCACTGTTCAGTGACTAATCTATGTCATCAGTTTCCCATGTAAATTATCATTGTTTAATGCAAGCGATGTGAGTTTGTGTTCGTCGGGTACACTTCTGCATGCATTTCTTATCTATCGCTCTGCTTATCATGTGTATATTTCTTGAAAAAACCTTTCTCCATATTTTAAATTATAAACAACTTTGGGTTATATATAGGTATAGCTTTATTTATAGATGTAGGCTCCTATAAAAGGTTTCCAACGTTCACACTTCAAAGAATTCATTAATAACATTTGTATTTATACCCAATTGTTTTTACTATTATTACTATTAAAGGATCGAGAATTACTTTGTCGAGTTTTGCTTGGTGGTGAGATGCCACCTCCTATTTCTCGTATCAATAAGCACCCGGATGATCGATCAGAAAAGCGTGATCCTAAGGTACGTGTACTTGTGTTTGTATGTCAAACTGTATTATTCTTTCTTTTACTGACTAACGAGTATTTTATATCATAACAAATGAACTGTAACCAGCAGTATAATCGAAGACCCACGTTTTATTCTACTGAGGACACATCTGTTGAGTCGAGTTAGCCACTAACTTATTCAACAGTTATGTTGTTTACATCACTAATAGAAAGGGTTTGAACTATCCCACCGTTATTATTAAAACCTTTACTAGTAATGATGTAAATATCATACTCGTTAACCATGTTAGTGGCTATCTAGACTTAGTAGTTCAGCGGATATTGTATTCTTTGTAAAAAGAAACAGCCTTCCTGGACTACACTGCCATCTACAGTTTGTCTAAACCTTACCATTGATGATATATTTTATAACAGTTTACTGCGAAAAAGATTCTGTTTCTTTACATTGATATCATGTTGCTGTTCTTGCCGACATGGTGGTACACGTCTACCACCCCGCTTATAAACTTTATAAGTGTTTCACTGTGATAATCCGATTTAGTGTGGTAAAGTAAAATTTTTGCGACCTTATTTAATTTCTTTATTAAATAAATATTAGTTTTATCTTTTTATGACGAGTTTAAATGCTCATTATATGTCTAACAAAATTTCTTTTCAAGAATAACAGTACAGAATGGAATTTCGATACAGTGGGACGTGTATCTAATAGTGGTGTTGATAGTGATGATGACAGTGATGAGAATGACTATAAGGTTACTTCATATACTGATCGTTCTGGTAGTGTACTCCAACCTTGTAATTCATCTAGTGGATTTGATTTTCCATCAGAATTATTAACTCAAACAAATGCAACTGCTGTAATCGGTTCATCTGCGTCTAATCAAGTAAGTAATGCACGTGCAACGGGAGCAACGATGGCAATGCCAACAGCACTACCAGTTGTTGATGAAACTGTTGGTGGTATTAGTCCACGAAGTAATATACCACATTTAGATAGGACAGACAACTATAATATTGCGGTGTCTGGGTCATCATCATCGTCATTTCCACCTGCTCCAGCGTGTACACCTGCCTCTCCAGAGACATCTAATTCGATTAGTGCTATGGCAGCAGCGTTCTCGAGCACTTTGACAACTGAGGATTCTGATAATCAACAACAACAATCTCAAACAAATGATCCTGTAAGTCTTTGTCGTTCCTCATGAACGTTTCAACTTGATTTTTGCATTAATAATATTTGAAAGGTTTCAACTGGAATAATATTAAGATTTATGGTATTAGGTGGCTTGAGGTAGTCGAAAAGAAACCGTACATAACCCTGATGTCGTACAACTTGATACTCAATAATAAAGCATATCTAAGTTTCAGGTTCAAACCCCATATCCAACCTACTTTTAGCTTAGCTAACTGGTTGATATCATTAGTCATTATATATAAGTAGTACCTGGTTCATTGTATAGGAAATAAAATCACTTCTTGCTATGATGTTATCTTTCGCTCTCCTTCAATCTGTACATGTATTGTACAACTTATCAGCACATTTAATATTTGCTGATGTGCATAACGCCGACATATTAACAATTGATGATCATATCATTTGTTCTTTATTCATCTCTTGTTGTGTATGGCCAGTATTTATTGTCTTCTTCATAGATCACACAATTTTGGCATAATTTTGAAAAAAAAAAGCGGTCGAGACACATGAATCATTATTATTATCCCAGCAGAAAAAGTACCGACTATTTAAATATAGTATCTTCAATCATCCAGTTGCGACAAGTTTTTTTTAATATGAAAGCGGTCGAAAAAATGTTTTAATGACGGACTATGTAGACTGATGGAGTTCAGCCAAGTTTTATTAGTGAGATACTGGCTAATATATTTGCTCTGTCGTGAATTACTTTTAGTTGGAACTGTGAATTACCATTCGATATTTACAATTTATAAATTTCCCCTACATATAAAGAAAAGATTGCTCACCCCTATCCCAGAAATACTGGTGTTCAACGTTGGCGTATATTACTTCTAGACAGAAATTATCGGTGATATTAATCATTCACATATATGTACGCATTAATGTTTGACAAATAAGATGTTTTATGTGTTTAATTTTATGTGTAACATGCATACGTACTTACTTAATCCTGTTACCCCTTATGGAGGAGCATAGGCCGCTCACCACCATTCTCCAGCCAACTCTGTCCTGAGCAATCCTTTCTAGTCAGTATTCATCCTATTTATGTCTGCTTCCAACTTTCAGTGCAGTATGTTCTTTGGCCTTCTTCTTTTCCATTTACCTTCGGGATTACATGTTAGGACTTGCTTCATGATGCAGTTTGATGATTTCCTCAATGTGTGTCTTATCCACCTCCATCGACTTTTGGTAATTTCCTCCTCAACTGGAAGTCGATTTGTTCGTTTCCACAGTAGGCAGTTGTTGATAGTATCTGGCGAACTGACATTAGGTATCTTGTGTAAACAATTGTTTAGAAATACTTGTACCTTTCTGATGATGGTTGTAGTAGTTCTCCAAGTTTCAGCTCCGTATAGTAGAACTAACTGACTTGACTCTCATATTGAAGATTGTTACTTTGATTTTGGCTGACAGTTGTTTTGAGTTCATATGTTCTTGAATAGTAGAAATGCTACCTTTACTTTGCCAATCCTTGACTTTATGTCTGCATCGGATTCTCCACGCTCATCGACGATGCTACCCAGATACGTGAAAGTCTCCACCTCTTCCACAGTTTCTCCAACAAGTATGATTGAGTTGGTGTTTTCTGTGTTGTATTTGAGGATGTTGATTTTTCCCTTGTGTATATTGAGGCCTGCTGATGTAGAGGCTGTTGTTACAGTGATTGTGTTGATTTGCGTTTGCTCGTGTGTATAGGTAGAAGGGTCAGTTTATCTGCGAAGTTCGAATCGTCTATCTGCATCCAAGCTTTCCACTGTATTCCGCGCTTTAGCTGAGATGTGCAGATATACATATTCCAGTCAACCATCAGAAGAAAGAGAAAAACGAGATAGAGAGAATGTGTGTGAGAGTAAGCTGCCTTGTCTGACTCCAGTCCTTACTTGGAATGCATCTGTCAACTGTTCTCCATGCACGGCTTTGCAGTGTAGTCCGTCATGTGAATTCTGTCTGATGTTGACGATTACGCAGCTACCCACTACAGAGTTTCGAACAAGGTTCCATAATGTACTCCTATTGATGATGTCAAACGCTTTCTTATAATCAAGGAAGTTGATGTATAGTGACGAATTCCATTCAATTGATTGTTCAAAGATGATCTATAGTGTGGAGATTTGGTCTGTGCACGATCGATCCTTACGGAATCCTGTCTGTTGATCTCGAAGGTGAGCGTCTGTTGAATCTTTCATCCAGTCCGACAGTACTCTGTTGAGGACTTTTCATGGTACCGATACTAGTGTGATGCTTCTGTAGTTTTCACACTTGCTCAGATCTCCTTTCTTTGGTATTTTGATGAGTTATCCTTCTTTCCAGTTTGTCGGCACTGAGTGTGATAGCCAGTGATTTTGGTGGTTTCCACAAACTGAAGCAAGTAGAATGAGTTTTGAAACTGTGGCGTAATGGGTGAAAGCTGAACGCTTTAACCTTTCATCCGGTTCAACAACACTTGCAACTTGCATGCTTACATTTATTTAGTGCACTTTGGAAAAATAATCCTAATCTCTCTCAATATTCATATGAGTTCCATTTTATAGATTGGTGAAATAAGTAATCTATCTAGTGCGAAAGAGACCATGAAATAATCGATTACAAGAAACATGTGCATATTATTATGATAATTGTCAACAAAATAATTTAATTGATGTATTACAAAAGAGGAAATGTAGCTAAGAGTGGAATCTTAGATTCACACTCCTTCCTACGTAGGACTAGTCATCTGAACGTATTTACACACTACAGTCGTTTTTTTGCTCCGGGACTTCAACCTAGTTCTTTTGATTCAAGCGCTATCACTCTATCTATTCAGCTACTTGTGGAATTATTTGATGCAAATGCATCCAGCTGAAGAGTCCTAAACACGATCGAAACTTCGTCCTAGATTTTACTGCTATCCACATTCCATTGGTTTTATGTAAACTTGTGTCACAATACCTGTATCCAGCTGGTTCATACAGAATGCACCGATACCGACTAATACTAATCAGATTTCAGTTAAAATATCAACAACAGTCAGACACACTACCAATGAGCTATCCAGGTTTTCCTGTTGACTACCTCCAACCACCATTTCATCTCAATATGGTGCACGTGATGTCGCGTCGCCTAGACTAGTGTCTACATTGCAACTTGGTCGATAGCATTCGATCTGTAATAGGAAGAACCTAACACACATAACATTGATCAATATCCAGTGATCAATCGAATGTAAACATATCTCAGTCCCACAGGACCTCAGTCGCAGCCCGAGTCGCTCATTGGTGACGTCTCTGACTGTGAAGCTTGGTGACACGGGATCGAGTCCGTCAGGGAGCATCACTTCCCTCAACATTACAGGTACACCTTGCCGACAAGTGCCAAGTAGCACGAAACCTAGTCCATGGTTTCCTGTCGACCACCTCTAGCCACCATCTCAGATCAAACACTTTTTATCCAATAATTTTAAAATCATCAGATTAGTTATAATGATCGTAAAAATTGTAGGTCAAACAAATAAAACGAAATTTCTCGATATTTCAAAGATTAGGGATTAATATCAACGAATCGAAAACCTTCACAGTTCTAGATAAACCAGGAACTGTGCATCGATTAGAGTCAAAATAACCAATAACTATTGCTATGTTATATACTGCCCCCAAATGCCCTGGTACGGTCGAGAGTGGGGAGAATCCGCTCTCCCTCTCCAAATGCTCCCACATGGCCACGCGTATATAGCCTCTGCCAGCGAAGTCTTACTCACTGCCTTCTCGTGGCACTACTGTTGTTTACGAAATTGAGAGGACGAAAAGCGAATGTCCGGCGCTTTAACCGGATTCCAAACCAAATCAATGGTGTACATGGGCCCCAGTATCCTGAAGGAACAAATGGCGTGTGAACCAATCGTTGGTTACCGGCTTCCATGGGACTGCATCTCCTCACGATGCTCCACTGCCTTTTGGGTTAGACCTTCAGGTCAAAGGCTCGGGGTGTGGCCTCCTAAGAAAACCACCTGCTTCGGTTTGAGCACCAGAGCAGTATCACAGCCCTCACACATGTCGAATGAGATTTGTGTGGCGCATATCTATTTGGTGCCTCCTTGTACCAATATCTATGTGTTAAAATAAATAAAATATTATATACAGTCCTACCTTTGTCCTGTTTATTTATCGTGTTAGTCACTCTACTGGGATCTACTACAGTATTATATTCATGATAAGTCTGCTTATGACGTTGCTGATCAATTTGAGACTATATTCACTTCCGAATTTCTTGATTTCCATTTTCCAAAGATTCTTCGTTTATATAAAGCCATTTTTGTTCTTTGAATATGTTTGCTGAATGAATACACTTAACTAAAACTTAAAATTTAATTCCATACTGATAATTTTATTTTATTTTTTCCAACCGTCTAGTCATGCGGCAGTGGTTTATGCTATCGAATAACATTGCGTAAACGTAATCCAAAGCAGAATAATGAACTACAAGATATCAGTTTTAATTATGTCCCAGGAGAAGGTGGGTTGATTTTCTTTTTTTCGTTTTCAAACCTGTATTTTTAACACTTCAAACACTGAACACGTTACTGACATCAATGACTAAACTGATAAACTTCATTGAATTGCAAGATGAAGGAAAATGTCAAGTTGATTAATGAAAGGCTATGATTCTTTTTCGATTCGAGATAATGAAAAATAAAGCTTTACTCATGAACCCGCCCAGTTATTATGTAATGATAACTCCCATAAGAAGAGTAGGTTGGAACTGTAGTCGGCTCTTCGCGTTGCCTTCTGAATTCATACACCTTTGGGATTTATTTAATAGTGGTTATCATGATGGTTGATAAACAAAGCCTAAGGAATTATCTCAAAGTCAAGCCGCTACAGCGTTGATAGCTTCAAACACGTAATTTGAAAGGTGTGGGCTAATCATTATCAATGGTTGATTACTTGGGGTAAAATGGTGCTACATTGGGTGTATCGTAACGGTGCAGTTGCATTCACTTCTTCCTTTAAATCTTCAGTTTTATTTTATTTGGGCAAAATTATAGTATAAGGTCAGGGCAATCAGAATTCAAATTTCACGAACAGTAGAAATACTTTTGTATGGTGCTCAAAGCGTTCAAAATGACGGCGAAAAGTTATTTTTCACCACCGTAGAGTCGGAATTATGGTGTTAGATGCATCAGATGCTTATTTCTGTTTCTGTAGTTGGTATGCAACAGACAACTCGACAATTCTCACATTAAACCCTTCATCTTAAAGCAAACGTTAGCCTGGTGGTGCATGATCTCGTGGACAAACTAATCAGATAGTACATTTTCAATTTTTGTGAGTAATTCATTGATTCAAACGGATAGAAGGCTTTTTCAGATTACAGCTGATGTCAGTTCGTGATGAAAACCCGAACCCTGAGTAAGAAAAAAAATGGAAACCCATAGAAATCTATTTAGGTCCCTATTGGGTCCTCAGAAGACAGCCAATCTATGTCCATATAGGCGAATTTATATGTCTTTGACTTTTTGATTTACAGGTAGATTTATCTGTAAATGTTGATAGATTCATTTTTAGTGTAAAATACATTTTAAACATCGCAACATTATTGCTTCTTTTTCCATAAAAAGATCCACTTGCAAAAGCTGTTTCCTCACTAACAAAAAATTAGCTGGAAGTTCGTTGCGGTCGTTTTAACCTTTCTCCCTTATTTTTCCCAGTGATCTCAACTGTCTAACAGAAATGGTAAACTCAAGTCAAAAGATCATTTTCTATCATCATCTGCACAATTTTATTTCTCGCATTCATTAACGACTGACTCACAAAATATCCTTCATTGCTAAAACTAATGGTTGACAATGTATTTGTATAAATCGGAATGATTCATATTGATCTCATAAATCTATGTATAGGTTGGATGATTATTGAAGTTCAGTTCGAGATTAAGATCAAAATAGGGACTTTCCTAACAGGGTGAGAATAATAACGTAGCACACTTATTTATTTTAGGTCAATAGTTTCTTACCAACTTATCTAAAAATAAAATGTTAGTTTGACTGATTAATAATCGAACTGTATGATATCACATGTCTCTAAAGTAATCTGATTTTCATGTAGCAAAAATGAAAACATCTAAAATTCGTTGATGATTGACTTCGGGTCTGTGTACTGAAATTGATTTGTATTTCAACGGCATCATTCGATTGAATGAACCATCTAGTAATCACATTTGTGGTTTGTTTATGTGTTTTTTTCTCTGAACTGGATGGTTTGGTCGCGACTACGGCCACCTGAGTTACAAATCTTCTCCACCGTCTCTTTGTGGTTTATACACACAAATACACACAATCATTTACTTGTTCATTACTATTTGATATTCAACAGTTTTTCTTGAAATTAACATCAAACTAGTTATGAAACAATGTAAGATCACGTCGTCTAAGAAAGTATAAAACTTTTCTAGGCTGCATGCTTTTGGTTTTGGATATCTTATAAGCATTACTCGCGTATACTGAGAACAGCCAAGTGAACAGTGCTGTGTTTAGACCCAGGGTAGTAAACAAAGATCGCAAATAGATTTACGTGGTTGAATCACTCACAACCACCAATTAAAGAAAATCTAGACTTACAAATTAACCAATTAATAATTATACACTATCCATCAAAATTAACAACTGTTTATCAAAATAAAGGTTTCATTTAATGAAAGTAGCACGCACACCTCCCTCAATATATATGTATTACCGAAATTTCACGATATATAACCTGCTGAATTCCCTTGGATCATGTATGAGAATGATATGATGTGCTGTTATATTCGATCGGATACACATATTATACCCTATTTGATTGTTTTAACAGTTGCTAATACTCAGTAACACTAGTCAATAAATACTCAACGAGCTCCAATTTTATTAGTCCATGAAATCTAACCAACCCCACCGTAACCCACCGAAGCTACCCTATGATTGTGGTGATTAGCTTAATCTGTTTCAACGAACTATTCGAGCTATTTGTAGTCTTAATGATTTCTTCTCCAATGTCGTATTGTGTCAGTTAGAAGATTAGAAAAAACCCGTAAGACCGCAAGAAGCAAATTCTATTCGCCACAATGAAGTTATACTCCCATCTGCATTAGAGTTTGCCTCTAGTATGGTGTATCCTAGATATAATCGAAATCACCGATTTTAACTTCCCAGGTGATGTAGTTTAGGAAATGTTAGTCCTAAAACTACCATACCTCCATGAATTTTCGATCCTTGCAATAAGGTAACTGATACACCAAGAATTGTTTAAAAAAGTCTTTCGTGATTCAGCCCCAATAAGTTATCTATTGAGCTCTGCGGTCACATTTCCAGGTTGACATGACACTGACTATGTATCACGTTTCTTTTTTAGAACCTACAAGTGAAAATAAAAACTATATGAGTTATTCTCTCACACATCGCTAACACCATTCAACTATCCAGTTTTGGATTTGAACCCTACCACATTTACGTCTTTCTATGATGTAACTTGTGATGATTTAGATCGATTCGTGTTTGTGCTGCATTGTTTTTCCATGATTTCTTCTTAACACTTCTAACCTTTGCAATAACGTATAACTCAAGTGTTGCTACCTTCTTCAAGCCTCGTTAATGAAGCTATGATGATATATTTTTCTTCCAATCATTACCACAAATAAATTCAAACTGACTGCAAAGCCGAATTATACCTAGTCTCATTGTAAAAATTATCTGACGATCGATTTTATCTCACCCTTATTTCAGCCAGTCAATATCATCAAATATCTCATTCCGTCATCGTGTATTCTCCATCCATGTCTCACAATAGATCATATTATAACCGAGAAAGGCTAACTGTGTCGAATATTCTCGTGTCTTGCGTTGTCACAGTTTTTTTCTCGAATAAATATGTATATCACTGTAATATAACTTAAATTATCAAGAGTTAATCCTTGATAAAAATATTAAACCGAGTAACGTTACACCTAATACGTATAAATATGGGACAGCGGCCTTAATGTTTAAACCCACTTCACTATCAGTCATCAGGTCGCCAGTTTCAACACCACCCTACTTCGGTTTTACATAATATCACTACTAGCTGACAAACATAAGCAATGTCGCTCAAATCCATCTACATACACAATTTATAATGTAATTGGTAAATTGAGTCTTTGTGTTATAATCGATTATTTCCCTCTCCAACCCTTTCGAAAAATTCATACTTGCACTATCAATGAAAGTGAATTTATTTTTTGTTTCATGTATAATAAACATTATACAATTATTTTTTTCCTTCTGTTTAATTATAGTATACTGAAGTGATAATATTCTTTGATAGTTATTTCTCTTTCCTGACTTTTACAGATTCAGCTGATGTTTTAGCACGTGAACTAGTCCAAGCCGATTTACTGGATGGTTGTGATTCATTATTGGGTTAGTGTTCAATTATTTGTTCATGTGTTTTTCCAGTTTTTTCTATTTTTATGCCCTATTATTTTGTTTCTAAAAGTTAAGAGTAGTAGTAACTTACTAATATGACATAATAAGCGCTTCCGATGTTATTGCTCATGTAAGTTGAGACTGTTGAGTGATCAATTTCGAGATTTAATGCAAAGTATTAGGTAAGGATGATAAGTCAGTTCACAAAGTTGTGAACCTTTATCTACTGAGATAGCTAGGACATGTAATACATATAATCAACAATCCTACCTTGACGAGTAATACTAGCTCATATATGAGTAGATTAGCGGAAAGCTAGAGGCGGCCAAATGAAAACCTCTCATCAGTCCATTAAGTCAATGATCTCTAAACTGTGTGATGCAACTCGATGGAGACTACTTTATCGGGGTCCGCATGATTATCGTAACCGGTGATTAGCAAATCTGAGTGGTAATATTACGATGATATTGATCGATGATTGTCTTGTTATATCGTTAGTTTGTTGATGCTGAGAATATGAACACTATCTCAGTGACTGACGAGTTTTATGTTGATTGTTAATTTAGTGATTATGATAATTCATCTATTAAGTAAGGATTTACATTTTCAGCTTTGAGTTCCACTGTATACGAGGGCTAGTAATACTAATCGTTCTTTTAAATCCCAACAAATTGAAAAGTCTTTTGATCTACCACTTAATGCTCGAAAACAATATACTTAAATTATTGTAATACCTGTTTGCTATTTAAGATGGGGTTATTCATTGTTAAACAGTCGCAACAAGTGTTTAGCGCTTCCTAATTTTCAATATTTTCATTATAGAATGGTTGTGTTCACTTTTCCATTAAATCATTTACTTCAAATAAATTTAGCATATTTTCAATCAGCGTTGAACCTTGATTATTTTATTGTTGTAAATAATTAGTAAAGTGTATTTAACTCGTACATTTACTATTAGAAGGGGTGTTTTGTGGATATTATAGTAATTTCAATAGTTGAATGCATGAGTCCATTGAAGCTAGACTCCTATAGAGAACCTGGAAGCAGTGGACGGCCTACTGTGGGACTCCTCAGCAATGCGCACTCACGATCCCGCCTCGCGAGATTCGATCCCAGGACCTATCAGTCTCATGCTCAAGTTGCTAACCTCTAGACCACTGAGCCACCAACCATGGTGGTCTATCTTCAATTGACTCATGATCTCAACTATTGAAATTACTATAATATCCACTAAAAACCTCTTCTGATATTAATCAACATATGTTCACTAGTGACTGGCTTCAAGAAGTATTTCCTGGAATTCTAGTGAGAAGCAGTGACCAGTGGAGTTCAACCGGGTCTGTTGTGAGATAGTAACTCACTGAAGACAATGGTAGATGTGTTGCTTAACTTCGTGGATTAGTTGAAGTTAGACATTAACACCATTGGATACCGGCTCAGTGGTCTTACATTTAAATTTTGACTATGTCTGAATTTATCACTATTGTATAATTCTTCAATGTTAAATAAATTAAATCATCAGTAGTATATCAATCGTATATTAGTATCGATAACTGTTCCGTACCAATCTGTATGTATGTGTATGTGCATGTTTGTGTCAACCTAGTTATTATTTACACCTTTTTTCTATTGTAGTATTCTAACAACAAAACACATGAATCGAATAACTATGTCAATCTAAACACGATTGTATTTAGATTATGATTTACATGTATGAAATTTATGTTTTATCAATTCCATTAAAGGTCATTTTAGGTGAGGCAGATTTTTGAAACTATTCTCATGATATATATATATATATGAGAAATAAACCCATTTCCACCTTTTATGCAACGGTACTGTGTGTGTGTGTGTTGTATACCCGTTTTGTTCACTACTGAAATCCTTTTTTTTTTCATGTCAACACTATTTGCTATTGCCATGCAATTGTGTTTATTATGTAAATGATATAAATTTATCTGATAGTTATTCTCATGTTTGTTTGTTTGTTTTTTCTAATTTGAATGATTAAATTTATACCGTTGAAAATATGGTTGTTTGTTTCTAAAAATGGTTTCTCTCTCTCTATTTGTCAATTGATTTTAATAAACTTTCTCAGTTATGATAGTTTTCTATTTTTGTTAATATGAATATTAAAGTTTTCTTAATCTAATTCATTTTATGACAAAGATTCGTTTATAAAACATTTTAGCTGTTTAGTTTGTTGTTTTTTTTTATTAATTTTTACAATTTAGATGTTTCATTTTAATATTTAAAATAGTCAGTCAGTCAACAACACAGAACTTCGTATGTACGTTTCATAAATATCGACATTTCATCATATTTGTGTGTAGGCTGTGATACTGGCCGGGTTCCCTGACCGAAGCAGGTGGTTTTCTTTGGGGGCCACACCCCGAGCCTTTGACCTAAAGGTCTGATCCACAAGGCAGTGGAGCATCGTAAGGAGATGCAGTCTCATGATAGCCGATGACTAACGTTTGGTTCGAGAAGGTAGTTAGTAGGACTTCGCTGGCAGAGGCTGTATACGCGTGGCCGTGTGAGAGCATTTGGAGAGGGAGAGCGGGCCCACCCCAATTTCGGCTATACCAGGGCATTTGGGGGCGGTACCAATATTTATATGTTCAAATAAATAAATGAATAAATAATGTACGTACATCAGTTCGAGTTGCCATACCACATTAGCACACAGATGTAATTATCGACTCAAATCTCATAGTGGTAGAAGTAGTAAAAGTATAAGCAGTAATCGGAAACATTAGAGTTTGAAAATGTTATTCAAGGAGTAGCATCCAGTGAAATAAATATGGAAAGAGAAAAAAGAAATGGACATGAAAAATTCAAAAGATTAGAATTTGGGAGTAGTATTTACAACTGGATATGATCTTTTATGAATATATAACTGAATATATTGGAGTAATCAGTATTGTTATAGTTACACTATTATTTAGAAAATGCGTTAATTAAGATAGAAATAGTGTTTTGTTGACCTGTAGAACTGAATTTTAGTCACCTAGGCATAATTTAATTGTGATCGGTCCTTTCTATTTCTATAAGGCTTGTAAGTAATTGTTGAGCTTGCATAGTTTATATAATGGATTAATCATAGTTAGACAACCACTGAAAACTATGTAGCTATTTCGTCCTAATATGAGACTTCAAGAATGTGCATCTATGATCAAACCTAGAACCTTCCGGTCTCACGGCGAGAACTTAACTTGTAGACTGCTCAGTTGACATACAATGGCTTATACATCGAGCTTCAATTAGTTCGCGATATTATACAATCATATTTCATTGCTTGTAGTGGATACCATGTGTCACACCCAACATGATCTTACTCCAGTAGTTATGGCTTCTCACTAGAATTCCTGGAATTATCTTTTGAAGTTAGTCACTAGTGAGCACATAATTATTATTACCTATGTATCGGGTTTATGAAAATTGTTTAATTTTCTTAGTTTACTCTCAAGTTAAGTATTTCGTAAGCCAGGAGAAATTGTATTAATAATGATTATTAATTTTGTGTACTTATCTATTCTGTCTACATACAGATTTATAATGTAGCTTTTCAACGTTAATTAATAGGACTGTGTAAACTATTTATTCACAAATCTTTGAAAATCTGTTTTAAGAAAACATTTTCAGTATGTAATATGTGTCTTGGTAACGGTTGATTACTTTTTTTTACTATTTTAATGGAATACATAATCGCTCTGTTATTTTAGGGTTTACTCTAAATAGTTATGTATCAGTAAACTTTTCTCCCTCCCCCCATATGTAGGCAAAAACCACATGTATATGTTGCAAATATTTGATCGAAGTTTTAGTATATTTGTATTATGGCTAGCAGTGAGATAAAAAAACCCCCACCTATTTCACCCTATTTTGAACTTGTTATCTGAATCTACATATACCCTAGTGTTGATGTTCGTTATCCTGTACCTTTGCACAAGTTAATGCCTATCTGGACTCAGTAGCTAAGTAGATAACGCGATGGAGTTTGGAGAAAACTGTACCGAATTCGAATCCTAGAGTAAATGTCGACCCTGGTATGCAGGTCCATCCAGCTGACAAGTCTCAAATAGGACAAAGCATACATATTGCAGGCCACTGATAGCCACATTCCATCTATTCTATATTTACAATTATTATGTCTAAATCTCCATTACAGTTGATATTATTTAATCTCTTCTTTGTCTATGCTGTTGTTAAGTTATTTGGAATTAAACCGATAAACACATTTGCATCAAGTTCTTTATTGTTTATAATTGACGAGAGATTTTCTTTATTTCAATTATTACCAATGTCTTGAAGAACAATAATTTACTCTCAATATAGACACTTATTTATCTACTAAATCTAAGTATAAAGTTATGTTAATCCACGTTGTCATATTTCTTTATAATAAAAAACACAATAACCAAATGATGATCATTTAAACATTGAGTTTCAGCACAAACTGATATGTGTATGTATGTTTCATTGTATTACAAAAAAACTTCACGGAAATGCAAATCTGACATAGTTTTTTTAAGGAGTTCTTTCTCTAATGAAATTGTCACATATAGTAAATAAAAGTTTAATTCAGTTAGTCATAATCAGCATAAAGCTTAGTACATATGGTTGTCAGATCAAGTTCCCATATCACATCGGCATGATAAGATCAAAATGAGAATAAGATAAAATAGTAAATGAATTGAAACAATAGTATTATCAATAGTTGTGAAAATGAACATATGGTTTTAAAAATAAAGAATCAATTGGATGAAATAACATCGAAGCTGCAGGAGATCAGAAAAAAAAACACTCCGATATCCCAATGTCTCCAGTCGGTGATTGTGGTTATCGTGTGAACCTCAACACCTACGAACATGGTTATTATTATTTGAACACATGAATGTTGGTACAAGAGAGCGCCAATATATATGCGCCACACAAAACAATAAGAATTCGAAGAGAAATAGAAAAAAAACTAAGGAGTGTGAAAAAAAAGA